TCTTCGTAGATTATAGTTATCAACCCTTTATCGGATGTGTAGCATGCAAATATTTTCTCCCAACTCTGTAGGTTGTCTGTTTGCTCTAATGATTGTTTGCTTGGCTGGTGCAGAAGTCTTTTAATTTGATCAGGTGGATTAAATTGTTTTCTCCTTTATTCTGTTAATACGATGCATTGCATCGATTTTTGTACCATAAACCAAATTTGCGTTTTGGGGACAAACTCCACTTGGTCACGATCAGTTATCCTTTTTGTATATTGCTGTATTTGATTTACTGACATTTCATTACGGGTTTTTATGTGTTCTTGAGGAGTATTGGCTTATGAATTTATTTTCTTTTTAATGTCCTTGTCTGATTTTGGTGTCGGATGTTTATACTGGCCTCCTAAAAAGGAGCTCGGAAGTGTTCCCTTTTCCTCTTTTTTTCTGGAAGAGTTTGTGAACCGTTAGTATGATATTGTTTCTTAACTTAAATTTTCCATAGACTTTACCAGGGAAGCAGCCTTCTGGTCTGGAATTAATTTATGGGAAGTTTGTATATAAATTGTGAATTTGGTTTCTTTAGTGGAGATAGGGTATACTGTCTTGTTCGGACTGCGTAGCAAAATACCGCAGCCTCGGGGGGCTTAAACAGCAGGAATGTGTTTCTCGTAGTCTGGAGGCTGGAAGTACGAGATTAAGGTGTGGGCAGGGTTGGTTTCTTTGGAGGCCTCTCTGCCGGTCACGTGCGTGGCTGTCTCCTCCCTGTGTCCTCACGTGGTCATCCCTTGGTCTGTGTGGCCTGCGTCTTAATCTCCTCTGTGAGGACACCAGTCCTACTGCATTATGTATACGACCTCGTTATGCCTTAATTACCTTTTTAAAGGCCCCGTCTCCAAATACACTTACACTCCGTGGTACCTGCACTCAGGAGTTCAACATACGAATTTTTTTTTTTTTTTTTTTTTTAGTAGAGACGGGGTCTCGCTCTTGCTCAGGCTGGTTTCAAACTCCTGAGCTCAAACGATTCGCCCGCCTTGGCCTCCCAGAGAGCCAGGATCACAGGCGTGAGCCACCGCGCCCAGCCTGGACAGTGTCTTTAGCAGTGACCGAGTTGCACCACCTCTGCCTGCTCTTTGGATTTTAGACTTCGGAGTCTCCGTCCCGGGAGAGCCAGCCCTTTGCTGGTCACTGGCCCCGTGTGGTCTCCACCCCTGAGCCCTCCCGGGTCTCCTTCGGAGTAACTGAGAATCTCCCCGCAATCGTCGACGCTTTAAGAATCAGTCACGCTGAACTGGACTGGTTTATTTTCCTTTTATAGATAACACGTGATACAGGTTTTTGCTGGGAAAAGCGTCACACGGTAAGATGCTGTGCTCTGTTCCTCTTTCAGTACGATTACGTCAACGTGCCGACCACCGTGTTCACTCCTCTGGAGTACGGTTGCTGCGGGTTATCCGAAGAAAAAGCTATCGAAATCCATAAGAAAGAGAACATAGAAGTAAGACCATGTTTTATTATGTCCTCTCTCAGAATTTCTCTTTGAATGAGCCGTCCGTCCTTAACAGCCACGTTTTATTTTGTCGATCTGCACCTCGCTGTGGCGGGTATATTGTAGGAAATAATAACTCCTGTCTTAGGAGAATTAGAAATTAATCTAAACCCTCGCTCTCTTGTCAAACCGGTAAGAAGAAGAGTACGGGTGGGGAAAGAGGGAAAGTATAACGTGTAAGTTAGGACTTCTGAGTTACCGGTAACAAAGATCTGCTTGAGCAAGCTTACACGAGGAAGCCCGAAGTTCTTCTGAGGTCTTTGGCGCATGCCGGGGCAGGAATGCGTCGAGGCCTTAGGAAGGCACGAGAACCAAGCACTGGAAAACATCTCTGTTTCTCGTTATACTTTCTCGGGGCCTCTGCGTGTGTTTCTGTGCGTGCACACGGTTCATTCTCGTTTCTGCAGACAGACTTCCTTTGCTCCCGGGGTGCAGCTAAAGTACGATCTTTGCTCCTGTCTCCAGTAGTTCTGGTCTCACGAGGACCCGATTCGAGTCACTCTTTCTCCGTTTCGATGCCACGTTACGGGAGAGGACGCTCGGCTGGTCCCAGTGGGGTCAGGTGGCCGTCCGCTTCCGTCGGGGTGGCCAGCAGCCAGCGTCCCGGGCCGTGACCGGAGCCGGGGGAGTCTAGACTCTGCGTGGGCTGGCGTGGGAGGGCGGGCTGCCCGTGCGGGGTCTCACAAAGGCGTCCTCCACACACAGCTGTTCCCACCTCTCCTCACTCCTCTCTCCTGTCCGATCATAGTCGTAAGAATATGTTCTTAATCGCATTTTGCTGGGTACTTTGATTGGCTTTTGCCACCCACCCTGCCAACAGCGGAGGGAAAGGGAGAAATAAAAAGAGTTGGGAAGGTTATCAATACTTGATATTTTAAGTAAAAGAGAATGGAAATCTCAGTCTTTTCCCTTGACGGTATTTTAATTGCATGATTTAATTTATTGTTGGGGCCGGGCGCGGTGGCTCACGCCTGTCATCCCAGCACTCTGGGAGGCCGAGGCG